CTCTGCGTTGGATGCGGTCAAGTGGAAGGAGCTGGCACTGGGGTGCCCCGGCCCAGTGATGAGAACAGTATTCCATGTGAGGCCGAACTTGCGCTTTGTAAAGTTGCAAGCGATGTGCCGGCATGAAATACTGTCTCGCTCTGCTGAGCACGCTAAGCTTTTTAGAGGCCAATTTGGCCTTCCCTTCCAAGTGACCACGAAACTGCACACTATTCTATATGTCGACGCCGAGGATTCCGATGCTAGTTGAGGCTGCAAAGGGAGTGCCTTGAAACTGAGGAGACACGACAAAGGGGTTCTTTTTAGCAGTAAACGCGCAATTTGGTGTCTTCTGGGGATTGAACTGTCCGAGACACGGCATCACCAGTATATAAGGCATACATATATAAGGCATCACCAGTGCTGTCGTCTGCATAGCAATGAATGTTACCAGTTTGCAACACATCATTGATATGCAGGAGAAACAGCGTTGGTGATAGCACGCAGCCTTTTGGAACACCAGCGTTGATAGGCTTGAAATGAGCATGCACCGTCTACTACGACCTTGATGCTCCTATCAGCAAGGAAACTGGTGATCCATTTGCACAATTTCTTGGGAAGTCCATAGGAAGGAAGCTTCGAAAGACAGTGCCAGACCCGATCGAAGGCCTTCGCTATGTCCAAACTAACGGCCAATGTCTCCCCCTTGGACTCTACTACCTCCGCCCATCTATGAGTCAGGTAGACCGGAAGATCACCAGCTGATCGACCCCCTTGAAAACCGTACTGGCGGTTACTAATCAGCTGGTGATCCTCAAGGTACCACATGAGTTTGCAGTTAATAATGGACTCCATTATTTTTGAGAACAAGAAGGTGATGGTAATAGGCCTGTAGTGTGACGGGTCTGAGCGGTCGCCTTTTTTAGGGATCAGGTGGACCAAAGCTGTCTTACATGAATTCGGGACTACGCCTTGGTAGTATGAGTACCGGAAAAGACACGTTAAAACCGATGCCAACTCCGGAGCACACGTCTTCAGCACAATGAGAGGGAATCCATTAGGCCCACTCGACTTGCTGACGTCCAGGGAGAAGAGTAAACCGTACATCCGGCATGGAGCACTCACATCGCGGGATGGTCGGCGGTGTGTTCCCCCCGTCATCTAGAGTCGAGTTGGAGGCAAAGAGAGAGGTCAGCAAATCGGCTTTCTCCTTTGCGGCAATGGCCAGTGAGTCGTCCTCTTTATGCAGAGATGGAAAAAATGGCTGACAAAAGTTCCCTTGGACAGCCTTGGCGAGAGACCAGAATGCACGAGTTCCCGAAGGAAGGGGAACTAGCTTCTCGCCAATTCTGCCGATGTGCTCAGACCTTGCCTTGGCAATGACGCTTTTGAAGGACCTGGAGGCGGAATTGTACTTCTTTTTAAGAACGCTGGTGTTTATATCCCGAGACTTTGATGCGTCAGCCCAGGCTCTGTAGCACTCCTGCTTATAGCGTGATGCTATTTTACAGGAGCGACCAAACCATGGCTGGGATCTGCCTCCGATAGGTACCACAGAGGATGGAATAAAAATTTCCATACCTTGAAGTAGCACATCAGCAACAGAATCGGCAACAACGCTGGGATCTTCCGATGAGAAGCAAACCCGCCCCCAAGGGTAGGATGCAAAAAAAGACCGCATCCCGTTCCAATCGGCTGACCTATAGTGCCAAACACGGCGGCAAGCTGCAGATCACAACTACGATTGGAGCGTGAGTGGCACCTTACTCCGGATCAGACAATGGTCCGAAGAGCCCAGAGGGGCATCGACGGAGACTTCATATCCGTCCGGATGAGAGGTCAGCAGAAGGTCCAACAGGGAAGGTACATGATCATCCACATCTGGGATCCGCGTAGGCGATGTAATCAGTTGTGTTAGACCATATGCCAAGGCAAAGTCATAGATAGATCTACCCGCATGGTCGGTTAAGCGAGAACCAAGCCATTCAGCGTGGTGGGCGTAAAGTAAAATCACCGAGTATCACGATCTCTGCGGATGGGACCTGTTGTAGCACGGAATCTGCAGCCATTTGGACATGATCGATAAGTCGGTCTGTGTCGGCATTATCGCTATGGGACCTTGAGCCTCCGGCCACCTGCACTCACCAAGCGCAACGCAGAGGTAAACATTTACTTCACGCTGGTATCCTGTAAGGTCGTGGTACAACCCCGGTTCGAGCCGGCCCATTCGTGCGACAGCAAAAACTGCCGCGTGGCTCTACCACTGTTATTTGTCACTTCTTTTATAAAAAGAAAATCGTTAGATAAGCACGGGTAGGTGTATACGACGATTCTTCTCAGTTTCAATTTACAATTTCGGCTCTGTAGGGCATTGCCTAAGGGTTCCAATTCCGAAGCAAGTGTTTGTTATGTGTAGTCTATGTCTATGAGATAACAACGGTAACAGAGTAACGTTATTCAAAAAAAAAAGAGAAAAAATTAATGATGCCCTAAAAAGGCGAAAACGAAAAAGTGTTCTGTATTAACTTTGCAAATATAATACACCTATAGTATAATACTTATACATAATATATATTATATACGAGATTGGGACTTGTTTTATTATTGGATTGGATTGGATTACACTACTCGGAGTTCAGTTAGGACATATTCCTAATACCGGTGACAACGATTTTTGCGTTGATAATTATCACATTAAGTTATGTAATGTCGGAATTTATAAAAAGCTTTTTCACCTTTATAAGATTCAAAATTATAATGATAGGCAATAACAAATATCAACACTACTAAGGTGCTGCAACCTGTGGGTCCTCGTTATACTTCCAGCCGAGGCCAACATTTGTGCGAGAACAAAAATTTTTGCTTTTCCGATTTGTTTGTCTTGCGATCTATGAGGGATAATCAGGTCAATCGTCAGGGAGACGGAGATTATCTCTATATGTAAAAATCAATTTATGTCCGTTAGTCCGTGTTCATTTAAATGATTTAATGTAAAGGATAACTTTAATTACTCGTAACATTAAATACCTAAATTAACTTACATATTTATATATAAGTATTAATAGTGAATTGGAGAAAACTCTGGCCCTGTAAAGGGTTGCTTTGAAAAGTCGAAAAATACGTATTCATTTAAATTAAAAATAAGTTTTCATACAAATTGTAACTATTTGAATTTGGTGGATCCCTTGGTAATAAAAAGAAGCTATTGTCCGAATTTCTCCTTGCTACGTCCTATGGTTTTGGACTGGGTATCTTAATATAATATTTTTCATACAAACATTGCACACTTGTTTTAAAAACTCAAGTAAAATTATTGAAAAAATAAATAATGCATACTTTAGTATTTGCCCCAGGTAATAAATTGAAAGAGACCATTTACTATTTTTTTCTCCATACAATTTTGTACAGCCTTTGGCCCCTCCGTAAGGTGTTGTTAAATCTCAAATACGTTTTCATTTATTTCATTTACAGAAGACATTTAACAAGTTTGGAGTTAACCGTCCCGGAAAATAAAAAGTTTCATAAAAACTGTTATATGCTATTTCATCATTTTAGGGAAGTGAATTGAATTCTTTCTTAGTGGGGGCCTTGGTATAAGGAAGCTACTGTCCCGATTTTTCGCGTCTAGATCCCATAGTTTCGGTCTGTATGTCTTAATACAATATTTTTCATACAAACTATGCATTCTCATCTGAAGACCCTAAGGGTAGATTTTTGAAGAAATTTAAAATGTGAATTTTTTCTTATCTAATATATATATATATATATATAATTTATTTTTAATATCAGCATAGATGCACAAATTTTCAAATTAAAATAATTATTAATTTTTTTTCCAAATTTGAACAACCTCTTGTTTTGAAAAATTGCTCCATGTTAATTTTATTAACAGTGTACATTTAGTAAGTTACGAGTCAATCGCCCTGTAAAATAAAAAGTTTCATACAAACTGTAACACCCTATTTCACTCCCTTAGGGGTTGAATTTTCAAAATCCTTTCCTATTGGATGCGTTATAAAAGGCAGCTACTATCCAAATATTAGATTTCTACGTCTAGAGCTTTGGGATAGACAGATGACATATTCCAATCATCTACGTTAAACATTTAGAGAATTATCTCTAAGGCAAGAGTGAATCCTTTTTTACCACTTACCAACAAGTGGGATTGTATTGAAGCACTGGCTTATAATAGGCAAAAGAAAGAAGGATTTCTTTGACAAACAGACACCGAGGTGATGTTACCAAGTTTTTCGTTTTGCTGAATTGGAAGCACTTAAAGAAATCAGTAAAAAATCGTAGCCTCCAATAATTATTTTAATAAAAAGTTGACTTACTCGGGTACTTAATCGGGGTGACCGGTATTTTTATGCTTACTTACTTTTTCTTCATGCTACCTATTTTATGACTGACGTGTTTCAACGTACTAATATGGCTTCCATAAATTTGCTGAATTAAACTATCACTAGGAACCGAATTATCTATTTTGCAAAGGAAGGATATATTAATATTGTAAGTGTTGTATAAGTTATACGCTCCATAATTCTAAATGATATATGTAATGACATTTACGTCGAGGGTATGACAAAGTACGAATATGAAATACATTGATAGAAATATTTATTTATTTATATATATATTTTATTTATTTAACACTTTTTGTACTAAAGGGTTAAGCACAAAACATTGGAACTGAGTTATATATTATAATATACCAAATAATTTTTTTCGCGCCACCATTTATTTTGAATGTTTTCACAGTTATAATTATAGGCCTACCATAATCGAATTGTTTGACTTATTTAACTGAACAGCTTTTGTAATATTTTAAAAGTAATATCTTTTATAGTCTTGGGCTTATTAATAAAAGATATCTAACTCAAACTACCAGAAATCGTATTAGAAACACGCACAAATGTTTTAACGAAAGTTTTATGCATTGACTGTATGATTATAATACACGTTACTTATAACTGTCTGGGAAGGCTACCTAACACATAAGTATTTTTGTTTGACTTATTTAGGAAACACCTACACCTACACAAATCGCGTAAATATTCCTTGCAAGATAACGGACGAAGTGGTGGTGCGGAGAATGAATCGCCGGCCGATGCCTCAGGCGAGGAGCCACTACCGGAGCTGGACCGTGACGACTTGCGCAGCCACCGGAGTGACGATCCAAGGGCACTACGACGACATAAGATACAGTCTAGGGTAAGCTAGCGTACAGTATAACATCTCTGTTCTGACTTCTTCCAAAGCATTAAATCAATATCCATTAAAAATCTAGAAGCATCGAGCGAAAAATTTAATACAAAAATTAATCGAATCGCTCATACCTCGTACTCCTAATACGATTTTTAAAAATGTCTATTTATTCCTTTTTTATATTAATTTTATTAATAATTTAAGAAATGCTCTGCTATTGTTTTATTATGTTTCGGTTTACAAATATGTTTATGGTAGCAGGGCTCAACGGTGCATGTCGGGCGTAAGGATGGCGGTGACAAAGTTGCGCACATACTTCCCGACGCTACATACAAAAAAATGTACGACCACAGGCCGCATGCGGTAAGATTACATTATAATAGAATACAACACTAATATCTATACGATTGCATTTCCTGTAGTCGTGCAAATTATTATAGGTATGAATTTTTAATCCTTACTGATTTCGATTGTATATTATTTGAGTCTAAGAAAGAATGGAAAAAAATATAAAAGACTATCTGATAAACTGTAAGCAAATAACATGTTCCGGAAACTGACATGTGTCAGAATATTTTCCATGTTTAGAATGAATACGAGACGAGAATGCCTGTATTTTGAATCACGTAGTCGAGTTTAAAGGAATGAAAGGAATTTGTGTTTTCAAATGTGAGATGGCATCTAAAGTAATTGAACCAGAATCTCTGAAATAAAATGAAAGGGGTAGTAGTAAGGTAAGTACCGAAAGCAATGAAAAGCATGAAAGCAGGTGAGGCTGAGTATGACAAAGTATCGTAAGAAATACTGAGGGCTGGTGAAGAAGTGGTGGCAAGCCTGCTGTACGCTTTCATTAATTTATCCGGAGAACTTAAGCGAGTACCGGGAAACTAGTGTAAAGCCGTCATATTTTCACTTTAAAGAAAAAGGGTCACAGCAGACCTGTCAAAAGTACCTTGGAGCCAGCCTGGCTTAGTATTTTAAGAAAACTGTATGCTAAGATGTTGATTGACAGAGTTATTAAAGAATCTGACCGAAAAATTAAGGATGTACAAGCTGGATCTAGAAAGGGGATAGAGTGCAAGGAGCAAGGCTTCACCATGCATATCACAGATCACAGATGAGTATTTGGTCAAAAACCAGAAAAAATTGAGTCTAAACACTTGGAAAAACAAATCATGTCATGTGTTTAGCAGAGATGGTAGACATAGCAAAATATAGACCGAAGAGTCAATACAGTACACAGAGTAAACGGTCTCTCAATTGAGGAAAGTCATAATGCGTCACGCGTATGGCAATTCACAACGCTGTTTTTTAGGTAGGAACTACCTTGATTTGTGGTAGTAAAATTTTTGGTATGGCAAAAGAAGCAGGAAAAATAATGTTGCTGTAGAAATGCTTTCATTAAGAACTATGTTTGGACTGATTCTGATTGTTAGGGGTAGAAATTGTGTGATAAGAGAAAAGTATGCTTTGCAAGAAGATGGCGTGAATAGGATTAAAAAAGGAATGCTTTGGTAGTTCGGTAGAAAGAATTAATGAGGAAAGAGTGACGCCCTAGGCGGAAATTTATCGACCAACTTGGGGATATATTTAAGACCAGCTGCTCCCCGCGACTTCGCCCGCGTGGAATTTATTGCGATTGGATTTCAGGGGTTTTAATTTTTTTTGCGGAACCTTGATTCTTTTCCTTTTATTCCATTTTACTGTTGAAATTTTAAGCAGATTGATTCAGGATGTCTTCAATGCAGGTTTTTGTCCAACTCGACGAGCTTCTGGCGACAGAAGATGGTGATGCAGAATGGAAAGAGACAGCGCGTTGGATCAAATACGAGGAGGATGTTGAAGAAGGCTCGGCACGATGGGGTCGGCCTCATGTTGCCTCGCTCTCTTTCCACTCACTGCTGAACCTGCGGCGATGCCTCGAGACCGGTGTAGTGCTTCTCGACCTAGACGAAAAGGACCTGCCTGGGGTAGCCTACAGGTACATAAACAGTTTGCAATATAAACTTCTACTAATTTAGCAAAATGTGAGGAAAATTCTAAGTGCAATATTAATTAAAGTGTTCATCTAAATAATTTATGCATACGCCAAATGTAAAATGATTTTAATGTCTAAGAATTATGTGATATTTAAAATGTGTACATGATATGTTCGTAGGGTGGTTGAAAGCATGGTTGCAGAAGGCCTGATAGAGGAAGATGACAAGCCAGTTGTTATGAGATCTCTGCTGCTCCGACACAGGCACGTTCACGATGAAAGGTTTAGATTCTCGATTGGTGGGCGTAAACAATCCTCCTATACTAGCCTTCAGGTTAGTATTCATATAATTTTTTAAATCACAATTGCTTACTCAACAATGAGTTAAAAAATTTCTACGAGTATATGTCTGTTCGAACTTTAAAAATAAAAATTGAATGAAATATTTAAGACTAATACAAACAGCATCTTTAACATTATCCAAGCTTAACAAGTAACATTGCTTTAACAAACGTTCAAAGATTTACAAAACACTGATTCTATATTCTATAGCTTACGCTAAAACGCACAGGCACAACACAATCCCTTTAATTAAATATCATGTGCTTACATCCGCTTCGTATAATTTAATAATGTTTATCTATTTCGTATAAAGTTGACGAGATTTGTATAGCGATAAATGAATTCGAGATCAATAATCACTAATTACATTCTAAATGTAGATAAATGATGATGAATTTGTTGTAGCTACAATGTGCTTCCTAGTGTTAATTGTATTCTGTTAAAGTCTGAATACTTGGAGGTGTTTGAAGTTCTAAAAGTAGATCGTTCGAACCTAGAATATCTATTCATTTAAGAGAAAATATTTGGCTGCCTTGGACAATTGTGATCTGGCGAGGTTCCCGGCCAAGATTGTATATAGTTATGGAAAATGCCAACTTCTTATTAACTATTAAGAATTGGTTTAGTGGCTGCAAAATTATTTATATTTACACTTTATACAATTAGGCCCTTCCACAAGTTAGAGAGTTTTAATTAAAATGTGTACAATATAATTTATTCTAGACTGTTTGATTTATGGACACCGAGTTATTGTTACGAGTACAGTATATATAATATGCGTATCGACGTTTTAGTTACTTCGATAAATGAAATGTACAATTACGATATGTAGTAAAAACTGATTATAATTTTTTTTAATCCACGTTTACTTTTTTTTCTGCGTGTTTATGGAGCTTACTTTTAAAAATATCCTATATGATAATTGTTTTTGATTCGCTTTCGCCTTTAATTTCTATCAGTGTACACTGTACAGTCACAGAAAAATGTATATAAATGTATAAAACTGAACTCAATTATTTGTGTTCATCATATCTAAAAAGTAATTGCTCTCCTATTTAACTTTTAATTGATACAGAGTCAAAACTGACTCGTTTCTAACGCGCTAAATTATACATCCGTTACAACGATGCCAGTTTTAGAATTGATACAGCTATAACAAGTGCGAAAAAAGATACAAAAAAATGATAAATGAGCCAAGACAATTGCCGTCAGTCACCTAGTCACGTTTATCGAAGATTACGGTGACACGTTTGGCATGTAATGCAAAATGTGAAAATATTCAAGGTCGTTGTGATACGAGTCACATTGCCACTACTATGCTCTCGTTAAAATGTATTACCACTGTTATAGATATTTAAATTATGTTTGTAATAAAAGAAATGAAAGGAGCAGCCTTTGGTTGTGATAACAAATGTTTGCTATTGCAAACAAATGTTTGCTATAATACTTAAATTTAAAATATAAATTTTAAATATCAAGTATAAAATATTTATACTTGATGTTTAAAATTACACTTTTCAACGTTACAATTTTCAAACATCATCTTCTTCATCAGTCCGTCAAAGTTTACTACAAGACGTGAGACTCCCATCATAGAGAAGATTATTCTTTGTCATGCTTGGTGGACGGATTTGACAATCACTGTACCAGTTGTTCCGCACCTTTGACCTTGCTTCCTGTCACCGGTCTGGTTATTTTACACCTGACGTAAACAGGTTGGTTCTACACCCATCCATCTATCGGGAGCCTTAAAAATAATTACTTAGAATATATTCAATATATTCTTCTTAGACTATACCCACGGTTCGACATTGGTGTAACGATGTTAAGAAATGGTATGATTCTATTACGATGTATGATTTATTATTACATCTTATTAATCAATCACTTTGTGAACGTTGACAAATTCCAATTACAAAACCTATTTTCTCAGATATTCAATATATGTAAACATATTATAGGTGTACGTGCTATCAACTCGGAGACCCTTTTATTACCTTTTTACCGCACACAATGCAACTCACAGATTATTATTATCCTACCATATTTTTGCAATACAAGTCAAAGTTTATAGGAAACCCAACTAACAGTTCAATACTTATTTACTTATTTACTACTTATAACATAATACCTTTTTCATATACCTATGGAAAATGGCGTATAGAACGAAGCATCCCAATGAACTTCTTAGTAAAATATCTTACTTATATAACTACACAACTACACCAACTTTGGAAGACAATCTATCGTTCCAAAATCTTTAAAAAAATCAGAAATATAAATATAAATCGAGATATTTTTACATAATATGATAGCATTTATTCAAAGTACGTAAATACCAAAACAAATATCCACAACCCTAGCCACTTTCATAAACAATGTTTCTACCTTGTCTTCCATACACTAATCTACTCTATTGTCTACTACTGTCCACGTTTGTTATGAAAAACAACTTTGTGCACAAATTACCTACAGACAAATTAACAATGACCTTGTTTCATTGTTTATAGGTTTTTATGCGAGATAAAACATTTACTGATAATTTGCCTTAAAATTAAATCGTAAGCTTAAATGAGTTTTGCGACGGTAATCCAGTAGATAAAATAAGCAGCTAAATTTTTTTAGTGTTATACTTTTGCGGACTAACAGCTGAAATCTGCGTATATGCCTTAAACTTCCATAATGTTATTAAATTATCATTAAGTTGAAGTGGCAATAGGTCGGCCATATAGCTTGGCGAACCAACAACTGATGGGATAGAAAGGCGAGACCTTCTTCTTCGGTTTGCAGCCTTCAACCGGTAAGCCAATTGTAAGATGGCCCCCTTTAGATGGAGTGACGTCTTGCTCAGAGATGCAGGAAGTCGTCAGTCTATGTTAGTTGTTTAGAATCTTGCTTTGTGATATGCCATGTGGGAAGCCTATGTTGAGCAGTGGAATTGTCAATGGCTGTAATGATGATGATGACGATGATGAATGAATGAATTAAGAAATTTAGTGAGTTTTTCATTTCTTTGGTTAATTTATTCATCGTAAAACCTGCTGTACCAATTTTGATAAAAACTTAATCAAGTTATAATTAAGGACATAATTGTGCATCGAATGAAACCAGTCCGACGTCGATAACATTATTTATTCTTGAAATACGCGACGCGAAAATTAATCACGATAATATATACGTACATACACACATATAGATAGCTTACTTCCAACCATAACATTTCACTTTAGGGACCTTGGAGCGTGGAGATATATCACAATTTGGACTTTGGAAAATCTTACCAATAACAATAACTTACTACTGGGATTTTAAAAATAAATAAACCCACAACAAATTGAAAATACAACATTGTATGATCCAGTCCAATATAGAAGCAGTAATGCTGCAGGGACTGCAGTTGTTATGATAAGTCATAATTAGGGTTAAGCTAAAGTATTGTGCAGTCGCTGTGGATGGAAGAATCGGGCGCGGGCCCTGGCGCGGCAAACGGTGCGCGCACACGCTGCTCCCTGTGCTCCGCAGCCGGAGCCTGTCGCCGGCACAGCGCCCACCTGCTCGTACGGAACACTGCTGTGCGCGTGTGCCTTTTTGACCCTCACCAACCTTACCCTAGCACGTAGTAGATGTTGCACCAGCGTGCTCCTTTCGTACTTTACCCGTTTTACAGAATCATAGAAGTCACCAGATCCATTTTAGAATATTATGTTCATCATGTCAGTAGCTTTACTTAAAAAAAATTAAACTCTGTATAGAGCTGAAGAGGCTTTAATTCCGCAGATCACGGAATGGATCTAAAACTTTGAACGGAGTAGGAAGTTGCAGCCCAGTGATTTCAAAATATCAAATCGCAGATACTAACGTCGTTTTCATATTGCCACCTTTGGTAGTATGTATGTTGCCTGCTGCTATTTTGAGATTTGCTAGATTCATTAAAATCCTTCTATCACGGGCTCATGTCGTCGCAAATAGTAAATAATCGTTGTCATAACTCATCTATTGTAGAATTACGTAGTGATTATTTTTCAATACTCGCTTGTCTTTTATTCTTTTGTTATAACTTTAGACATCTTCCAGTGTTATATTCTAAAGGGAATTTTCCAAGGGGTTTTTTTTTATGGACTTTAAGTATTTGTTTCAAGAAATGTTTTGTATGATATTTCCATTATATGTTGGAATATTCATTTAGAATTCATTAACAGTGTGCTTGACTAAACCGTAAAAATTGTTGTTAATTATATGTTTACATTTTACGGTTTAGTTTAATTTTAAATTCACGCTGTTTTAAATGCTTTGTAGTACTCATACTCATTTGACCGTGTCCTCAGCGCATGGGTGTACAAAGCACTTGATACGTCTGTTTTTTTTTTAACCTAAATCTTGATAAAATCCGTACAAATGAGTTATTATTCATTTTTTATTTAACTTGAAATAATTTACCGTTACAGCCTGTTAAAGTCCACTGCTGTAAATATACCTCCCCCTTAGATTGCCTCATAGTGGAGATATTCGCCATAGTTGCCACGCTTGGCAAGCAGGTTGGCAACCGCAGTTTTTTAGTTTTAGTCGTTATTAGGAAAACACTACTGCCCATCTCCTGATTTGTTTCCCTATGTCGCCTCCTACGAAACCCACGGGATGATATGTGGTAGTAGATATTCTTACACCGCCACTACAACAGGTTTATTAGTTAATTCAAAAATGTATGTAGCCTTAAATTATTTATGCCACATATCATTTAGATTTGAATTCCCAGTAGTCTAATATTATTGATATTTATTTCCTTTACGATTAGTTTTATCCAAACCATACTCTGCAATGTTAGTGACATATTTAATTAATTTGATTTTGTGTACAGAGCCTGTCAGATCCAAAACGACGCCGAAGCTCTTACGCATTGCCACATGACCGCGTGGAAGCGCGCAAGAAAACATCAGCGCCGGGACTCGAACTGCGTGAAGTGGAGTACGTGTCTGGTGTCGCAGCCGGCTCTCAAGACGAGTTGCGACGTGGACATAACGACTCCATCATGAAACGGATTCCGGGCGGCGCCGAAGCCACTACTGTACTCGTCGGTGCCGTGGGCTTCCTCGATCAACCTACCATCGCATTCGTAAGACTTGCACAAGGAATTCTGATGCCTTCCATAACCGAGGTGCCTGTGCCCGTACGCTTCATGTTCATTCTCTTGGGACCCACAGCTGCCGATTTAGACTATCATGAAGTGGGTCGATCTATTTCGACTCTCATGTCAAACCCTTCGTTCCACTCTATCGCGTACAAGGCTGACGATCGACGGGAGCTTCTATCGGCTATCAATGAATTTCTGGATGATTCTATTGTGTTGCCGCCTGGTGACTGGGAGCGACAAGCACTATTACCCTTTGAGGAGCTCCGCGCTAAAAGTGAAATGATTCGGCGTCGTAAACGTGATGCACTGGAACGTAAGCGAGCTGCTGCTAAAGCGGCGGCACCGCCCTCTGATGAGAAGAAAGCACTACTAGCAGCTGAAGCTGGCGGGCCACCTGCGAAAGAACCTGAAGATCCCCTCACTAAAACTGGTCGTGTCTTTGGGGGTGAGTACTGCACTCGCTATTGAAACTTTTGAAGCAGCAGTTCCTTTTCACTCTATAACATTTTTCGTATGCAGGTGTAATACGAGACATTAAGAGGCGATATCCACATTACTTATCGGACTTCGGAGACGCGTTAAATGGGCAATGCGCAGCCGCAACCATATTCATGTACTTCGCAGCCCTCTCATCTGCCATCACATTTGGGGGTCTACTTGCCGACAAAACCTATGGAAATATCGGTATTTCGGAAACACTCGTGAGTATATTTTGTTACAAGTCAATTATAATTTAAAAATTCAACTTTCGTTATGCACAACAAAATGAACGTCATGAGTCGTCCAAAAGCCGCATTCCGGTAAGCAATACCTTACCGGAATAGTAGTCAATGGATTAAAATACTTAAAAAAATATGCGTGAGTGTCGTGCAACACTTAGATGGAACGAAGTTCCTTTCGTAGTATATTATTATTGATAAACGTAATATATTATTGATTAACAAATGCAAATAAATGAATTACGTACCTTTGTGAATACAACTTTAGGCAATACGTTTAAGGTTGAATTTACATTAATGTATATTTATTTCAACTAGAATTACGTCAAAACAACTGGCGACAGTTTTTGGAGAAGTTTTGCATGGGATTGTGTATCTAGTTTTTTTATTAGTGATCGTTTGAGTTAACTTTACCTTATGTTAAATAAACTGTGTCATTTTACTTTAAACTGTAGTCAAGTTTTTTTCGTCTTTTCGTCTTCGATTCCTAGACGAGAATAACGTATGTCTATGCTTTTTAATTTTCGATAGTTCTTTTTTTACAAAAACTATACACTTAATAAGTTTATAAAAAAAAATCCTTAACGTTGCTTAAAAATACGTTTTATTTACACATACTATATTATATTGTCACATTTTTAATTTAGTTGACATCCAATTACTTTATTATTTCTGGTTACATTCATAGAATACGTTCCTATTACAAAAATCTAAAACAAACAGAAAAGAAATGTTTTCATATATAAAAACATTTATCTTTAATATTGTAACATAATGACCAAACGGTCTTGTCGTTGTTTTAGATTGTACAGCTTCCGTTGTGTCTAAGTGATATGATAAACATAGTGCTATTCACAATTCCAATCCTAATTCAAAACATTCTCTGTTATAAACTTCACATTTCAAGATACAGCTGATGAAAACATTGTCAAAAAGCATTTCAATCGTGAATAATCTTATCAGTTGAATAATTATTACATGTTTGTGTAAAATTGCGTGAGTCATACAACTTGTGAACGTTCAGGGTCCTCCCCTTTATTTCGCAAATGGCCGTGACATACATGAGTTACCAGTTAGTTAGCTGGCAGTCAACGGGACGAAAAGTTCCACCTTAAGCGCCCTAGACGCTAGGCTCTGTAACATTAAATTGATGCAATGACACCGTTGTGTCAGAGTCTAACAATTAAATTCGAGATATAATGAGATATGAGCTCTTAAAAGCCTAAAGTAGCTAGTGTAATAGCTTTTCATTTTAATTTTGAAACCTTTATAGGTGACTTCTTCATCATTTTGATTTAGCCTGTAAATATCAACTGCCACGGGCTGCGCGTTCACGCTGCTCCCCGTCATGTGTCTACCGAAAATGAAATACTCGTAGTTATACCGCTGTCTGTCATCCACGGAAGCCATGAGATCTTTATGAGGTTTCCCTGAGTCGCCTATTAGCACACCCATGGGGATTAAATAGGGTTTTAGATTCGCTTAGACCATCACCTAAAGGGCACCTGATACGGCGAATGAAAAGTTCTGGATTTGGAATCGTAATAAAACTAGACGAAATATTTTATGTTTATTCATTTATTTATTACCTACAGCACAGTCCACTGCTAAACTAAGACCGCTTAGTAGATTGACTCATAGGGAGGATTTTGCCATAGTTACCCCGCTTGGCAGGTGGTTTGGCAACTGCAATTTTTAATTATTTTAAATTGTTATCAGGAAGACGCTGCTGCCCATCTCCTGTTTCAGTTTTCCTATGTCGCCTTTTACAACTCCACTACATGACAAATACTTTATAAGCGAAAATTAATTTGTTTAGTCTAAAACTGTCACTTCATAACGCTAGGTGATCGATTTTCATACCGAAGAAAGAAGTTGTAGAGTGCTCTACTACGCTACGTATTATTACCCTAAATAAGATATTAATATAAAAATACATTCTTATAACCGATACTTACTTACATTTACAGAATACAGCAATACCAAACAATATACGTCAAAACGAAACCCACCTTTTCATTTCATTCACACTATAACAAAATAACACTTGAAACTTCCTTCAAATTATAATCATTGAATAGAACATAATTTTTTTTTTCAATATAGGTTCCATGTTTGACTTAGAAAGTCATTTATGGTTTTACCACTGGTTGTTAAAAATGAACAAGAAAACCAATGGGACATATTTTAATATGTCCCATTGGTTTTCTTGTTTATTTAATAAAATAGAAACATTTTCAAACCGCTTGGTAGCGATCACCTCATTCCCAGAGGCTTTATCGTGTATTATAAATCATGTAATATTTTAACAACTACGAGGGTGGATTGAAAAGTACTCGGCCTAACCAAGAAAATAAACAAATACTAAATCAGTTATATTTTTATTTTTCTACATAATCACCATCAAGTTCAATACACTTTTGCCACCTCCCCTTCCAAGCATTTAGACCGTTGAAAAAAAATGATTCTTCCTTAGAGTCAAAATATGCGTCTACAGCTGCTTTGACCTCGTAGTTTGTCGAAAATCTTTGACCTCCCAAGTGCTTTTTTAGGTTAGGGAACAGAAAGAAGTCTGATGGTGCCAGATCAGGTGAATACGGCGGATGCGGTAACAGTTCAAAGCCACAGTTGTGAATTTCAGCCATTGACTGTACTGACGTGTGAACACGGGCGTTATCTTGATGAAACAGGACTTTTCTTCTGAGCATTCCTCGACGTTTTTCGTTTATTTCCTCTCGTAAACGACGTAGTAAGGTGCAGTAGTAATCAGAGTTTATATTCTGACCCCATTCAAGATAATCAATCATAATCACACCTTTCGAGTCCCAGAATACTGAAGCCATCACCTTATTTGCCGACAAAATCGACTTAGCCTTTTTAGGGGGTGGTGAACCAGGTCTTCTCCACTGTTTTGATTGTTGTTTTGTTTCCGGTGTACAGTAATGAACCCATGTTTCGTCCATAGTAACAAAACGATTCAAAAAATCATCTGCATCGGCTTCAAATAACTCCAAACAGTCGCGTGAAATAGTCAATCGCGTCCTTTTTTGTTCAACTGAAAGCAGTCGCGGAACCCACCTCGCAGACACCTTGTGGAAACCCAACTCGTTGACAATGATGTTTTGAGTTCGTTCATAAGAGATGCCTATAATCTCGGCTATCTCTCTAATTTTTAATCTGCGGTCTCCCATTATTAAATCAAGTACTTTTTTAATATTTTCGTCAGTAGTTGACGTCGAAGGGCTTCCAGAGCGGGGTTCATCTTTCACACTCTCTCTACCACGCTTAAATTCTGCTATCCATTTTTTGACGGATGAATATGACAGAGCACAATCGCCTAATGTACTGACCATGTCATCATGGATGGCTTTTGATGATAGCCCCTTCTTATGGAGGTACTTAATGACGGCACGCTGCTCGATTTGCTCCATTCGCGGAAATTATGTCCGATTACTTTGTTAATAAATTTATAAAATCATAACTAATTATCGCACACGTTTCGAACTTCACACAATGAACTAGTCTGAACTGAACTAAATAATGTGGGTAGATTTGATTTTTAGAATTGAATGGATCTGTGTTAGGCCGAGTACTTTTCAATCCACCCTCGTATCTTTATACGGATTTATTTTTATAGACCTTATATATTTTCTGGAACTTTGTGGTAAAAACATATGCACTGCACTATGAAGGAATTACTCTTTGGAGTCGAGAAAATGCTATTAGTAGCTTGTGTTTGTACTTAGAGATTGTATATCGCTATTGTTAATAAAACTATTTTTGTTTTGTAAATAATAAAAATATAATTTTAATGTAGGTTTTCACATGTGTGGGTGGTGTTGTATTCGCGTTGCTGGCCGGTCAACCGATGATGATAACTGGTGCCACTGGGCCTTTGCTGCTTCTTGACGAGTCGCTCGCTAACTTCTGCAGAATGTATGGATTTGACTTTTTGGCTGCGCGCATGTACTGTGGTATCTGGATGATAGTAATTGCGCTCTGCGTAGCCTCCGTAGAGGGTAGCGTTGCGGTTAAGAAGATAACCAGGTATTTCCCATTGTACATACCTACAAACATTCGTGCTTAATGACATATTACAGACTATTCTTATGGGATATTATAACAGTGGTGTAGCAAGACCCCCATGCCGATTTTCGATGAAAAGTTAGTTGTAAAATCATTAAGATGATTTTCTGTTCAAAGTTACACAATTTAAAATTAACACAATGTTAGGGGTTTACATGTGAATACATTGTTCAATTACAGCTGAATAAAAATTTAAATTCTACGGTTGCTGACGCGCTTGCCAATCGTGGCAACTGTGGCAAATATCCCCCCTACAAAGCGATGTATGGTATGGATGAGTATTTAATTTTATTTCTCTAAAAATCTTCAGAAAATGTTTTTAAATTTACATTATTCAAATATTTTAAGTGTGAAATAAGATTTTGCAATATCTTCCTTTCACTGATGTATCGTTAATATTCAAATGTAAGCCTTGAATCTGTATTGGGCTGTATGCATATTATGTATACGTAGCTTTTTTTGATATAGCGGCTGAGGGCTGCAGAAACTCATGCAATGCTACTGGGACTTAAATAAAAAAGTTAAAGATTATGTATGTACGTCTGTCTATCGAGTATCGCGTCTGGGCATAGTCTTTCTAACACATGCACGGAGTTCGGCGTAAATTTCACAGTAGGCGAGCAATCTGGGATATAAATAAAAGTTTTACTGTTGAAACAAAATAGCTTACCTATTATTGCCGCCAAATAGCAGTGCTTGCGCTGCTGATTTCCGGCCTGCAGTGTATAAATAGCCAGTGTAATTACAGGCTGTGAGATTGATCCACAGAAGTGACAATGCAACTGGAAGTTTCTTTGTTTCAAGTTAGTTGTCATGCACAAGTTTGGTAGGACTGCAGTAGCCACTTACTGTCTGGTTTACTGTTAGTTCGTTTGTCACATTTTTATTAAAAAATTCAAAAGTGATGTATGTTACTGCAATTGCCAAGCATGATGTTTTTTTTTATAGGATAGGGGACAAACGAGCATGCGGCTCACCTGATGGTAAGTGACTACCGCCGCCCATGAACAACCGCAACACCAGGGGAATTGCAGATGCGTTGCTAGCTAAACCTAGGTCCAACAGTGGACTATTACGGGCTACAAATTCATAAAGCGTCGTCATAACTATGTGTCTTCCTTTATTTAGGTTTACAGAAGACATATTCGCGTTCCTGATATCGTTGATCTTTATCTCGGAGCCGGTTACTAACCTTATAGCTCTATACCGGGCACATCCTCTCGGATATGACTACTGTCAACGTCAAGCGATATCTAATACAACAGACGCTCCGATGATTTCAAACGACACACCTATAGGTTAGTAATATTACTACTTATAAATGCCGACTAGTTTTGTAATAAGGTTTTTAAGCTAATTATAATTCAAAGTTAGCTAGTAAGCTAGTTAGTAGATATCAGCTAGTATTTCATTACATTTAAATCTTTAACCGAATTCAGAAACCGAGGAGGTTCCTCTCTATTCGATCCGTATGCTGTTTTTACATTTTTTTTTTTTGATTTTTTTTTTACTGATTACATATTTTATTTACTGATTTCTCAGAAACTGCTTAACCGTAATGATTCTTTTTTATTAAATAAGCTTTACTACAGGGCTGGTCTCATTTAAATTTAAGAAAACAATACCTAGCCCTAGTATTAAAAATTAGAAGGAAAAAAAACATGTGTTCAGTACACGCGGTAGAAGTGAAACCTTCTTAAATGAAATATAATACAAAAACATTTCCCAGCAAATGATTTATTTAATTTGATAATTTTGAACCACAAGTGCGGCATAAAATAATTATTAAAATAAAAGTTTAATTTTATAGCAAATAAATGTTACAATCCTTATTTTTAGACATATTAGAGCCTAAGTTTTAGTGTATTATATCAAAAGAATATTTTCTTTCGACTAAAATTGCTCTGTAATGACGACGTATACTGAAGTCAATAAATTGTTCGATGAAATTATTTTACCGATACAATGAATTTTTTAAGAAAAATAATTTTATCGAACACAGAAACAAAAATGTATTGATTCTCAAGGTGGTCCGTAAAATAGACTAATTTAATATAAATCGTGTGGATTGTTAAGAATGGTTTGGATATGATAATATTATGCAATATATTTAATTTTATTTATTTGATAAGAAACTTGTAATTTTTTAATTCCTTATTTTAACATTAAGAAAGTTATATTAGCCATTTCAAAGAACCGCCCACAGAGAAGGCCGAGATGATAGGAAACCCGTGTAAATCACGCTCTGAGCCCTGCGACATGACCCCTGTTATTCTCTTTCGGTTCTCATCGGGTAGCTAGGCGTCGTTAATACGCCGTGCCGTATTGAATTATTTTAATTTTTCACTATGTCTTAAATTCCAAATAACATGCTATAAAGAACAGAGTTTATCTTCATAAAATTGTTTTGATGATGAAGTAACCTTCGTTCGTAAGGATTAATATGATATACCTAATAATTACGCTCATAAATCTCTTTCTAATTTTCAATTTTTTTGTCACAAAATACCTTACTGTGGTTTATGTATAAGAAATGGGACTATGGTATCGCGGACTTTTTTATATGCAAGAGAACACAGTATTTACATAACTGACCATTGCACCAGCGCACGTGGATTAAGCAGTTCTGGAGCGCTTATTCTTGTGACTTGCTTAACAAAAATCAATATTTAAGGCTAGCTGAGATATTTAGCCTAGTGCTAGATAGCCTATACTATTCCTCGTGAATCTGGCTATTATATACAAAAAGAGTTTATCAAATGTGACTAATAGTTTCAGAGATAAACGTGTTTAAAAAAAACAAAAAACCTCTTTCGCTTTATTATATTAGTATAGTAAGTCAGTTTAATTTTGCGTTTTATGGCCGTTTTATGTTTATTGCTTTTAGTTTATTTTTGTTATAACATTCCATCGTAGTCCTCAGAGATGACAACGCATCCTTCGTAATCTTCTTTGTTTGAAGTTGGCTGTAGGCATCCATAGACATAGTTTCGTAAGATTTTTTTTTTTTACTTATATTATTGTTCCGTACCAAATTCATCTAAACGAAACGCTGGTGGAATCACATCGATGTTTGTGTATCCGACTGTCTGACATTGAGGTTCTCCTCTGTGTTTTACGTCAATTTTAATGTTTACTTTACCTAGTTATTAAAACGAGGCAACTCTAATCCACACATGAAGATTAAAATACTATGTTTGATTTTAAAGGACACTAATTGTAGGTAACATGTGCTTGGACGTTTTGTTTTACAAAGCCGTCATTTAAATGTGTAACTTAAATAAAACTAGTTTTTACGGATTTTATCGCGTAACTTATTTTATATTCCAGACGTGTCGAGCACTTTACAGCACCCATGGTCACTGGGACTGAGGTGTTTGACGTCCCAATATCATAGTTAACCACGGCTACCTCCAGATTAGAATTATTTAAACTTAGTATAGTATTGTAATGTAAATAATAAAAATATGTGTTATAATATCGAGCTTATTTAAATAATAAACATTTATGTTAAACTGTTATTATAACTTCCTTAGGCAACGAGACTGCCACAACATTGCCATCGCCGCCGCTGCACATAGTTACGCCTCCTCAGCCAAATACTGCTCTCTTCTGCACGATGCTGACCCTGGCAACCTTCATCATAGCTTACTATCTTCGAATCTTCCGCAATGGAAAGTTCCTCGGACGCAGTGTAAGTCAAGTCAATATAATATTTGTTATAAAGTCTATGAATATGTATTATTTATATACTACGTCCCATTGCCGGGCACAGGCCTCTCATTTTTGAGAGAGTTATGGAGCAGACAGTCCGCTTTAATGCTTCAGTATGTATGGGCTTAACCTTACATTTTGTTTTTCAGACATACCGGTTTCCTCATGACATTTTCTTTCACCGACGACATGTCTTAAATTACTATCTGTTTACTTATAACAATTTCCGCATTATTTAAACAGTTGCGCGTTTCGTTTCCTTTTGTCTCATTTAACATAAGCAGTTTAGTTATTTTTTTTTTGCAATGTAATTTACTATCAATTCATTACAAAATTGAAAAGTGTAATAATACAAAATATAAATTTTGTTAGTTATCCCTATTTTTTCATTGGTAGGTTGAAAAAATAATAATTAAACAACACTTTAATCCATAGGCTCGACGGGCGCTAGGAGATTTCGGTGTTCCCATCGCGATTGTTCTTATGGTTGGGGTATCGGTTCTGGTGCCCGTGTGGACGGAGAAGCTACAGGTGCCAGATGGACTTAGTCCCACCGCGCCACGGTCCTGGCTTGTACCACTCAACTCTGGCCTGGAGACGATTCCCACGTGGGCCACCTTCGCTATGGCACTGCCGGCGCTCATGGTTTACATTATTGTCTTCATGGAGACGCATATCGCTGAGTAAGCCATTTTATTTTAACTGCTTTTTTACGACATTAAAACATGACGCATTCTCTTTTGTTTGTTTACTTAATATTTAGCATCTTGTGCTTTGCGTTTTAAAAAAGATTTGTTTACATGAGTACTCATGGTTCATCAATCAAATAGTTTAAAATGTGTCGCGATCTCTTAATCAGAAAATTTAATATTTGCAAGGCGAAAAACTTGTTACGCATTTTTTGCAAAGCGAATCACTTTCGCGAATGTGTATAATTGCAAAATCATTAAATAAATGTTTTACCCGTTTCTTTACATTGGTACTTATTACAACTAAAGACCGTTTGCGATAAAAATCAATATTTAGTTTAAACTTAGCTTATAATTTTTTTTATAAGCTGCTGTTCTATGGGTGTTGATTCGTTTCATTTCATTGTGACTTACGTGTGCGTATGTGTGTCTATATGTGTGTATGTGTACGTGTGTGCGTGCGTAAGTATGTGTGTACCCGTAGACTTAATTTCAGAATGACATTTAATGAAAACTATCATAATTATATTTATTATATAATTATATATCAAAAGTCATATGTTCTCAAAGGTGTACTAGACAAAAATGCACAAACATCGACACCCTCACACATACGCTCTTTTAAAAATAGTAAAACTGAACTTTCTCTCCTTCAAATCTTGACCAAAATAGTTCTTGTTATAAAACCTACCTAATTGGAAGTTAAAAACTTTACCCTCCGCTATTTTTTTTAAATCGAGTCGAAAAGCAAAACAAGTGAAACAAATAACCCCGAACAGGCTGATAATCGACAAGCCGGAGCGGCGCCTGAAGAAAGGCAGTGGTTTCCACATGGACATCGTGATCATGTCGGTGGTAAACGCGGTGTGCGGCTTGTTCGGCGCGCCGTGGCAGTGCGTGGCCACCGTGCGCTCCGTGAGCCACGTGTCCGCACTCACCGTCATGTCCACCACGCACGCGCCCGGTGAAAAGCCATTCATCGTGCAAGTCAAAGGTTTGTAGCTTTTATTGCTTTGCTTTTCTCTTTAAAAATGAAACATGTGTGCAGTTGACACGCGGTAGGAGTGAAACCTTCAGAAAAGTAGACAGTAGTGGGGAGGCTACAAAACACCGCACAAAGGGGAGACAGAGGTAATAGGAAACACTTTGTATTATATTCTGCCTTATTATCTCACATGCTAAATCATATAGATGTACTAGCTGGCAGACGTTGTTCTGCCCTTAGCGGCGAACCTCTGTACTATAAAAATACTTAGATTCGCAATAAAAAATACTGAGGGTCACTTATAGGGATAAAAATTATCCTATCTCTCAAGTTGGACCAAACTGCACACAGTGTGCAAAATTTCATTGAAATTATTTCAGTGGTTTAGGAGTTTATCGCGAACAAACAATGTGACACGTAATTTTTATATGTAAAGATATGTGTATATGTTGCATCGACATCACTTCAAGAACTTCCTTCCCCCTCTCCCTGGGATTCTCTGCATTACCGTAAAGGCGTTTCACATACATAAATTGCACATGGACAGACATCCAGAACAAACACTTATTTCGTGCGCGATTCGAATCTGCGACTACGCAGTGCCACAGCTAAATGCTTAGTCACTTGCTTACGAACCGTCAATTATAAGTAAATGTAACACTTCTTCTTTACAATCAGCCCAAAAAAGGATTTGCCCTAACCCTCACGCTCGTCAAGCGGAATGTATCGTAATGGAATACTAGATATCTCACAACTTTGGAGCGGCAGCGACCTTCTAATAACAACTAAAAATAAAAACTTGCCGCTTCCAATCTGCCTGCCAAGCGCCAAATTCAATGTTGGCAAAAATTCCCCCTTCGAGGCGTTCTATAGGAGACGGATACGTCCAGCTGTGGACAGCGAATTATGAAGCAATGGCGTCTTTGACTTTGAACAAATTTGAGAAATACCTCTTTTACTAGTACTTATAACGGCTACATGGTGGCAATATCGTTCAAATCAGCAGGCATAAAAGAAATTTAAAACATAAAAATACTTTAAGCTGGCGCTGCTCCACAACTGATCGAAATTATTATCACCATAGTAACTATTTAGTAAGGTAAGCAATCTTATCAAAAACGTGTTCTGTCAATAATTAGTACAAGATAGTGGTACAGATAAAATTGTCTTGTACAGAGATGTATTAGAGAGACTTTTTAACAGAGTTTACTAAGTAAGTCTGGGATTAGTTAATAGAGCCTTGTGCGGTTTTGATTAATGTTGTTTCAACAAAGTTTCATTAATTCGAATTCACCACTGCTTGTCAAAGATATCTTTTACTTCACTTTTTTTTCCCATTATGACCCCAAAAGATGGTAATATTTTTCACTAGTATTTCAGATAGTTTTTTAACGGTCCTGTGGTTAAGTTACGACGCTATGAGCTGCGGGTTCGAATCCCTCAAGGAAGAAGTAGTTTTATGGCCTGCGAATAATTGCTCTGGTTCTGGATGTTAGGGCTTTTTAAATTTATGTATTTAAACTGAGACCACGATACAGTAAAAAATCCTAGTTTACAGATAAACTCTTTTTGAAAAGTATTAAATAAGAATTAATAAAAAAAAGTTTCTGTTTCTATATCCGGTCGCAACATGGTATCTAATCGCCGGATTGTGACGAATTATATCTTAATAGATTTTTTTTAAATTGCTCGGGGAATATCCCTGTTTAAGATAACGATTGAATTGTTGACGCGTCTGTTCGGGTGACTTCTGAACGATTATCAAATCATCAATCATGATTGAAGTCATATTCATGCAATATATTTTTTGCCGACACGTTATATTTGTCAAGTTTATAGCCATGCCCGGATCCGATAGTTGACGCTGTAGTCGAATTGTTAATATTTATTTATGTGCACTAAAAATTCTGAAATGAATTAGAAGTAAATTAATCCTGACACCTACCGGAAGTGCAGATCAACGTCCGCCGAGCCGGCTAGTAATGTCAACATAAAAAACTATTAAAGCCTTTATCTATTTTACATACAATATGTTATTCAAAATACGCTGCGCTGTTTGGCATTTGAAATTGTAAATGCTCTCTTAATATTATAACTGTAAAGATATTTCCATTTATAGGGTTCAAATAAATCAGGAAATTAGATGATTAGACAGTAAGGTGCCAGTAAACCTAATCCTATCCCATTATTATTCTGCACCCATAGTTTTGACTCACAGAACACAGAAAAGACTTCTGTTGCTCTAACGTATTGACTACTAATAGATATTTATTATAAAAAACTACTAACACAGTCATTGCGAATCATATTTTTTATTGTATATATATCTACACAAACGTCAGCTCTGCTATAAATAGACAAAAAATTGCCTTGCTACTAAATCCTGTTAGCGATTACTATGCGTATATTATGTCTTATTAATTTAATCAATTTACTTTTTGTCTGCTTCGAAAACTATTTTTAATGTATTGTATATTATTAAGTTCTCGTATATATATCGACACCTAAATACACTATTTAATCATTTAAAACCTATTTTAACCGACTTCAAAAAAATAGGAGGTACTCAATTCGACTGTATTTTTTTTTGTGTGTTACTTTAAAACTTTTTTCTAGGATAACCGATTTCGATGATTATTTTTTATTTGAAAGCTGGTGCTTCTCATGTGGTCCCATATAAGTTTGATCAAGACCTGACCAGTCGTTTTTGAGTTATTGTTCTGATAAATGTACCAAATCGCAAGGAGAGCTTCGATTTGCGCGAAAACTCTTCGTGACCGTGACTACTTGTTGTTAATTTTTTAATTTGAAGAAAGCTTGCTATATATTACATTATAATAGAAAAGCAAATACAATATTAAAAACAGATTTTCATACGAGAAAAACTTTATTATTGTAATTTTGTTTTTATTATTTTTATCTGACTACAGCGGAACAATTAAAATAAGGGTAATATTTTTGTATAGTTTGTATGTATGTTTAATCCCGACGGATATAGAAAATTATGTCTTAACTGATGTATCAATTCATCATAATAATTGTGGTGGTATCGAACACTATGCGATGTCAGTATAAATTAAATATGTCATACAAAATGTACTGCGAAAATCTTGCAATCCTAAAAATAGTATTGAGCAAACGTGTAGGTGATACCACACACATTTAGTAATGTAATATTATTTTATTTCTTTTTTAATTATGGTAATTTAAAGTTCGAACGAACAAAGGAACAAATCAATGCAGTCGGTTTTTCAATGCATAATTTATTTGTCAATTGTACAACGTTGTAAAATTTCAATAATAATTACAGTCTCCACTTTAATTTGAATGTACTAGTTATTTCGACATTGACTTAACTGTGACCATAAAACAACATTACGTCGCATAAAATTTTCCATGAGCGTTACGTTCAAACGGCTTTGTACAACCGGCCTTAACATTCATTTCTAGAACAAAGGCTCACCGGGCTGCTAGTCGCCGTACTGGTGGGGATATCTGTACTGGCGGCGAGCTGGCTGCGATTGGTACCTATGGCCGTGCTGTTTGGTGTCTTCTTGTACATGGGCATCTCTGCTCTCGGCGGCATACAGTTCTGGGATAGGTGCATATTGTTGCTGAAACCGGTCAAACATCATCCGCAAGTGCCCTACGTCAGACGGGTAAGTGCTAGTTTTAAGCTAACTTTAGTCGTGTTGATTGAGGTAAAAAAAAATGTTGAACAATTTTTTTATAGGTTAAGGGTGACAAACGAGCACACATTCCACCCGATGGTAAGTGGTTGCTGTGGCCCATAGACATCTATCTTCGATTATGAATCAAAGTGCAGATGCGTTGTCTCCTGTGAGGACTAAGATGGCATGCCTCATTTCCAGTAAAAAGGGTCTCCTGTTCTCTACGCTCACCATACGAAACACAGCAGCGTTAAGCTGCTATTTTACGCTGGTATTCTGTGAGAGCATGGTCTTTCCCCGGTCAAGCCGACCCATTCGTGCTACAACCATAATATAGCTGCAGCATGGCTCTACCACGTATATATATATAACTAAATACTTAATTTAACTTTTAGATGTACCCCTTTTCAGCCTAAGAAACTATCTGGGTAGGTATCAGTATCACCTAATACTGTGTTTAAGTCTAAAGGATATGGAGCCTAGAGATATTATACTAACTATAGACTGTGAGGCATTCCATCTTAGTCCGCAGTATTTTTTCTCTGTGGTAACTCCAGTGACAAATTTAAAAAAAATTGCTTTTAAATTAATTCGAAAATTTAAATATTGTATTGATACACTATCCACCTTGTGAGACATTACAGTCTTCCGAGGTGATAACGCATCTGGCCATGGGTTGCAGTAATCACTTAACAATAGATGAACAGTCATCGCGTTAATCATTACAGTTAAATAAAAAAATATTGTGCGATACCTAAAATTAATGTAAGAGAGAGTGAGTCTAAAGAAAGATTCATCTTTAAAAAAATGAAAAACTGATTAAGATAAACAGCAAAAATATCGGGCGTTCAACAGATGGTGAAAAAAAATCTGATAAATGCAAGACTAAACATGAAATTTCTTATTCAAATTTACCTATCACATCATGAATATAGCTTTAATAAAAAATTTATGGCTGGTGTTTTTGTGTCATATTAGTTACTCGTTAGTCGTCGATTGGAATAAAGATAAGAAAGTATAAAAGTCGTAAGGGCTTTAGCACACGACGTTTTTTCATCGCCTAAACGACACGCTGGCAACGCATTTACGGACTTTTGACGAGATTCAAGCCGGTTCACAAATTCAAACGTGCATTAGCATACTACAATCAAGCTACTACCAACTACTACAAGATACTACGTCGATACACACGCGCTGAGGTCGCACCCTTGTATAGATAGATCGATACAGAAACCGATGGCGTCGGACAGGACTACTCTGCTTACGAGTACGATGCCTTTATTACTACTTTTAAAAAGAAAATACGGCAAAATAATCTACTCTCTTGAATAGACCCATTTACGAATCGGGAAGCTTGAGCTCGTTTGTATTATGACATAGAGCGTGCTTTCGTGTCTAAAGCGAAAGGTACGATCCTTCAGGTAAGAGGCCACGAGACTTACAAGATGATCGGGGAGACCCATTTTATATAGTTTGTAGATAAGGCCTTCGTGCCAGACTCTATCGAATGCTTTAGCAATGTCGAAAAAGACCGCGACGGTCTTATGACCACTAGGATAAAAGCCGCTGAGGCTATATACCACAATGCGGTGAACTTGTTGGGGACAAGAATGTTTCGCTCGGAAACCAAATTGGTGGGGGATGACAAGAGGGTCACTGTCTGTGGGAAACAGATGGAGCCTCATGCGAGTGAGGATGACTCTTTCGAAGAGTTTGCCCGTGGCCGTGGATGGGACGATGACTGGAGGGGAGGTTGAGAGGCTTTTCTGGCTTGGGAATACCAATGACAGTTGTCTCTTTCCACGTAGTGGGAAAGTAACTAAGATTGAAGCAGGCGTTAAAGATAATAGTTAAAAGGGTTAACACCTACTCAGGAAAGTGTTTAAGGGCTTGGTTGGTGATGCCATCCGCGCCCGGAGCCTTTTTGGTCTTAAGTCCTTTGATGAGGGATGAGATCTCATCATTGGACACAGTGATAGGGTCAGAGGATGTGGGGGGTGAGTTCCGGCGGCGGACCTCATCATACAAACATACGTCATAACGACGAGATTCAAAAAACAGAATGATACATATATAAATGTATCATTCTGTTTTTTGAATCTCGTCGGCACCGTAAACGCTCGTTCGTTCGTTATTATCGCGCAGCAAACGCAGTGTGCTTAGGTCCTAAGGTGTAATTATTTTTACTAAATTAAAGTAACAGCCTACATAATAGCACACAGACCTTATCTTATTTCGGAAAGGGCTTTGAAGCAGGAAATGTGTGTTATCAGACTTCACATGCCGTAGAAATGTTTTTTTTTAATTTGAACATACAGTCTCACGATATTTTCTTTCACAGTCGGATATACCAGTACTAAATCCTACAATTCACTATTTCACTTCTGCCGGAGAAAATTGAACTCTGGCTACTCGCGTACCAAGAATTTTAGTGCGAGCTCGAGCAAATATACGTATGACAAAGAGAACGACTTGTACCTACGACTTAATATACCGTCTTAGCTCGGGTGCAAGGTATCATGCATGGGGATAACCACAACACAATCAGATCTGTTGGACTGGCATCCGCGGCTTTGCAGTAAGATCCTCTAACTTTCATTGAATAGTTTACGATATTAAAGTCATATCATTATAACTCATTGAAGTTATAACTTTATTGAGAGGAGAAAATGATATCAAATAATTATCCAATTGTACCAGATAGAGGGTAATGTTTTTTGAGAGTATTTATGTATGTATTAGCTGTTCCCCGCGACTTGGCCCGCGTATAATTTAAATTCAAAAACAAAAATTGGCTAAGTTACTCCTCATATCATCAGCTATCTGCCAGTGAAAGTCCCGTCAAAATCGGTCCAGCCATTCCGGATATTCGCTGGAACAGACATACAGAAAAAAAATAAAAAAATGTTTTTGTTATAACTACCGTATATACTATCATATGTAATTAGTAAAAAGCTGTTATTTTAATATTACAAACAGCTAAATATAGATGTATGTTTCTTTGGAACGCTTAACATGTGAGATGATCCGTTTTAATTGTGGGAGTGACATCTTCATTGCATCTGCACCATCTGCAAATGCAAAAAGGGAAGCGAAGGTTTTTTCTCTGTAAACTTTTTAACGCTGTCGGGTTTTTTTTAAATTACTGTTTAAACCATTAAGATTGGTTATACATTCTATTTTAGGAGCATAAGTATGAAATTGCTGTTTTGTTTTGAACATTTGAAAACAAAATATGGAAAAACAGGTTTATTTATTATTAATGTCCATACAACTCTTGTCTCTCACCGTAAGAAACCTAGCGGCATTATGTTTAATTTCACGCTGGTACTCTGGGCGTGTGTTGTGCTTCCCCAACCGAGCCAATCCATTCGTGCCGCAGCCGTAATACAGCTGCACCGTAACTCTTTCACGTCACAAAATATTGGACAATAGTAGAGAAACACATGCATTCATGAGATAAGACTATTTTTTGCCAATTCAGTTTTAGTAATAATCGTAATTTTTTTAAATACTTATAATGTTTATATTAACATTGCTAATATTCCCTTTAACCACTCCTGGGTAAGCTTAAAATGATTGTGTTAGGAGTGGTTCACGATAGTGGTCGAACGGCGGATTCGAACCCAGGACCTTTCGAGATTGCGGGCCGCACCCTGTCAATAGGCTACTGTCGTTTTATTTTCCCTGTTTGTTCACTATAAGCACCTGTTATCGATGTACGTAATCTCTAGGATATTAAATTATACCATGAAAAAGGCCAGGTCAAGAGTACCCTAAACCGAAGAGCATGTGTGAAGGGAATAATGAAAGTGGACGAAGCGAAACAAGTATGTAAGGATCGTAGCAAGTGGCAAGAAGTTGTCTCTGTCTATCCCTACGGGAAAGAGGCGTGATTATATGTATGTATGTATCAAAATTCAAAATCATTTACGCGTCAACTTATCAACGTAATGCAAAATTCGAACGGTGATTTTATCTGATTCGAGTCATTTATTCGTTTCATGCATTTCGTGGAGTACCCAGTGTTTAGTTTTTTTTTAAATTATAATAATGTCCTTCAAACCGAATTTCGGTCACTGCAGCCAGCTCAACGGATACTAGCCATCTGTGTGATTTTAGTTGTTCAACTGTATGCGCAAGCACAGTTGCACTCTCTATTCCCGCACTCTCATATTTCGAAAATACGGACCTGAGAGATATCAGGTGCAGGACCAACGGATTTACGCACTTTCCGAGGCACAGGGCTGTAACACCGTCTACATTTTAACTCCGGGCGGCTACTGAGATCTTCTCGATATAAAAACCCAATAACTAATTTTGACCGGGCCCGGGATTCGAACCCGGGAGCCGGGACTTCATGACCAGCAATCGCGCTTACGACCACTAGAGTAACTTTCTCTTTTATTATACTGATTTAGCATCAATGACAGAATATTACCAAGACGCCATATTGCTAAATCCATAGCGGTTTATCAAATAAAACTTTAATGCAAGGTACTGCTCTTAACTTGTATCTTGTTCAACGAACTGTTCTAAGATTACTACATTTTTTAGATTCGTTTAAATCGTTCTTATCCTATGACGCAAGACAATTTAACGGATCTGCTTGCAATAAATTGAATACTGAGTGGGTTAGGAATTTCATCACACTACCGGTTAGTATAAACATCTGAACTCCATCTATACAGGTGAAATAAGCATTGTTATTGTGCAGAAGAAAATATTTATAGTTATGTTTCTTGAATTGCAACAAAACGAGAAATCCGAAATATATCTATAATTGAAATGAGGCTTAGTTATAATACGCGATAGTAAATTATGTGACAAGTGCCAATACTAATCTCTAGCAGTTTATTACCGTGCTATGTATATTTCGTGATTAACACGGAGATAATCACCTTTAGTTTTTAAGAAATAATCAAACGTATTGATATGCACTTGCGAAAAATATTAAGATTCGTTATACCTAGTTATAATCACATTATTTTTTCCCCGATGCATATTTTGTAAAAATACAACTAATTTATACTTCCATTCATATTAATTAACAATTTATCCATATTTTTGTTTAACTATCGATAGTAACGATATTTTTGTTTAACCTGTGGTCTAACTCTAAATATCAGAGCCGTGGTAGCTCAGATGGTTGGCGCTAGCTGTAAGATTCACAGTACTCGAGCAACCCGGGATCGATCCCCGCCGGCACCAATGAAATTATTAATTGCAATTTTAAGTGCTGATTTACCACGTGCTCGACGGTGAAGGAAAACATCGTGAGGAAACCTGCATGTCTGAGAAGTAAGAAAAAAAATGTTTCGATGACATGTGAAGTTCGCCAACACGCATTGGGGCAGCGCGGTGGACCTTCCTTGCCCTGAAACCCCCTCAGAAATGAGAGGAGGCCTGTGCCCAGCAGTGGGACGTGAATAGGCTGCAACTTTACTTTACTTTTTAACTCTAAATCAAAACATGACCAGAATCCGAAAACCAACAATATTTTAATGCCCATTTAAATAGTTGACACCTCATTAAAAATACCATAACATAAAATTTAAATTCGCTACTTTAGAAGTGTCTTAAATTCGTTATTCCATTTCGAAGTCAAATAAAACTTAAAGTATTGATAGAAACTAGTTTTTACGAATATTATCGCGTTTAATTAGGCCACCTATACTCGAAACGTCGGAAATTTAAAAATATACTTATTAAACACGATGTAATGCATAAAAACTAGTTTCATCCAATGTGTAGTGTTCGCGTAAATATATGAAATCATTAGATTTTTAGTACTTAGAAAGATAGAAATTAGATGATAATTTCGAAATAAATCTATAACGGCATTACACTACAAGAAATGTTTATTAGACTAAAATGTAGTTATTATATACTTTATGGTTGTAATAACTCGTTAGAACTATTTCAATCATATTTATGTATATGTAATTACTCTAAGGTCTTACTTGATTATAGCCCGCCTAAGGGTATTAGTGTTCTGTGGATTATAGTGTCAAATAACCAATTGGCTTTGATTGCGATCTGAACACAAACCCGTGGGTTACGAGTATACTACGCTACGAATACGAGCCAGATACTTTCGTTAGTTTTTCGTCCGAAATATATCCATTAATATTATAGCATAGAGTTCATAATATATAATATCCATTAGGCCTACAACTAAAATTTAGTGATTATATACTGTTCAAAATAGAAAAAGAGAGATAAAATAAATAATAGTTAAAAATAAAGCGCCTTAGAACTGTTATAATGTATATTACAGCAGGTACAATTTGGTTGTAAGATATATTTAACTTTTTTGAACTTGTAACGAACGTACAGTACTTAACCGGAATTATTATAAACCAATTAGGTATCTATGGATTTTACAATTATAGATTAAATAATATGTATTATTCATAGTGCAGATAATATATGTGTACTCGTACATTCGTAAGTTTAAATGAAAGTTTATAACGCAGACATATACCTACTCTTCGGCTATACCTTTGGATATCTACGTACATAGCACGTAAAATTATAACGTGTGTGGCGGCGTAAATTCCGCGGATTTGTAAGAAGCGACTGCAGGAAAAGCCGGAACGATCTAATTGCTTCCGACAGATTGTTGGTATAGGTAACCATCGCATTTAGGCCAGGTGTAAAATATCCAGACTAGCTAAGAGGGGCAGCGCCAAAAGTAAGAAAAGTCTGTTACTGCGCTCGACAATCCGCCTGCTAAACGAGACGATGGAGGCAAATTCTTTTCATAAAGAAAGAGGCACATATCCAGCAGTGGAAGAGTATGTAGAATCACAATGTCTCGTTGTATGTAATATTATATTGTTAACAAACGATTATGAGTCGCAACAAAAGGGCGCATGCTTATTTAGAACCTATTTTGTTACTAAGGTGTGTCACTGCACAAAGGCGATCTACGAGCTTCGTCTTATCGTAATATCTCACACGAAGTGTTTTTAACATATGCCGTCACACTATAAATTCGTTATTTTTGTACTTGAACTAAATAGGGCCCTATTTAAACTAAACTAAATACTTTAAAGGTGTAAAACTACTTTATCATCAGCTCCTTGTCGCCCACTGCAGGGCATAATAAAGCAAAGCTACTTACTATTAAGTATTATGTGGAACGCATAAATAATGACAAAGTAGATCACAGTTAATAATATAGGCAAACAACAACAGTGGAAGAGCCATACGGCAGCTTTTGCTGTCGCATGAGTGAGCCAAACTAGATTGAGTGGCGACCTGGTAAGACATTAAATGCAGAGCTGTAATGAATGAACGTAATGAATGAATGGTTGGACTGGCTAGAACCGAGGAGACCCACGAACTTACAGATAACCAGCTTGGAGTAGAAGTTTACTTCGCCTGTTAAGTGGAGATGGCAGGGGGCCTAACCCCTTAACATAGTAGTGTAATTAAATAAGAAACCATCCAAGGAGGATACCAGCACCCCTGGTATTAGAAAATCCCTGGCTAAGCATCCACGCCCTACCTACCCTACTCTTCCTTAGCGCTTAGGTGATCAGGCTGCCTCGCGTATCCTGGGGAGAGGGGGGTGGGGATTCCGCACAAGACTAATACTGCTTGTGGCAAGTAGAGCAATAAGACAAGGGTGACCCCTGCCACGCTATCAGTGAATTTCTGCAACATCAGGGAACTTTTCATTTTTTTCGATTTTCATTTTTCATTTCATTCGAACGTTAACGTCGTAACTGCTCAATTTCAGGGCACTCCCCTTATTAGCTCAGCCAGTATTGGAATCTTAAGCGTTGACATATCGAATAACGTGTATTTTCGTGATCACTTGGAAGAGAACACAAATTGGCCTCTAAAAAGCTTGGCGTGTTCAGCAGAGTGGGACAGTATTTTATGATTAACTTTACAAGTGGCAAGTACAGCCTAACATGGAATACTGTTCTCATCCCTGGGCCGGGGCTCCCTACTACCAGCTCCTTCCACTTGACTGCATCCAGCGCAGAGTGGCTCGAATCGTCGACGACCGACGAAGACGAAAGACGAGACGAAGAGATATTGCATCCCTTTGCATTTTCTATCGCATTTATCACGAGGAGTGTTCAGAGGAATTGCTCGGATTAATTCCAGCCACAAAATTTCATCAACGCACATCACAAATCCACATCATCGGGATGTTTGGCGGTCCACTACCGTCAGACCGATACGTCTTAGAGGGCTTCAAGAAACGAGCTTACTCCTTTTTAAAAACCCGGCAACGCGCCTATAATTCACCTGGTGTTGTATTTATAGGTGCGGTAGTCGACACTTACCATTGACTGAGCCGCATGCTCGTTTGTCCCACTCTTCTATATTAAAAAAGACAATAAAACGCAGTAGACAATTATCTTTAACTATGTTATATTTATGTTCTGGAAGTCTGGAATTTTTGCGGTTTCATTTCGAGCCGTTCGTAGTCAGGGGCCAAAAAGTTAAAACTTGAAAATTCTTTATACACTTAGGATAGTACATAATTTTATTCGAACGTCGTTCTTGGCGGCCGAGGGGCCCCTTTAGCTTGGTGGCCCCGGGGCACTGCCCCGCCTATCCCCTGAGTAGCTACGCCACTGCGAACAATGGAGCAATTTTGTATATTTAACTCAATTTTGACCGTTTGTATGAGGTTTCGATCCTTTGCGGCGTAGGCGACGAGTTGGTAGAGTCCAGAAGTCCCTTTAGCTTGAGTTCATATAAGCTTATGTATTGTTTAGTCAGACAAGCAATATAATTACAGACTGAACATATGTACGGTCAGTTTTTTTTTGTCAACTGAAATGTCTTTATTCGATTATGTACAATATATTTAAACACACGTTCACCGTGCCGTGCCGATTTAAAAGTATACTGGGTAAAGTACAAAGCCGTTACGTTACACATCTTATTTTTCAGGTGTGAAAACTCACTTTTTTTAATTATATAACTATTACATAAGTACTAGAACAACGGAAAAGCGTTTTTATTTCACCTTGACCAGTAAAAGTTAAAGTTACAGTTAAGTTTATGTTAAAGTTGCTGGGCACAGGTCTCCTCTCATTTCTTAGAAGGTTTTAGGACAAGGAAAAGTCTTTCGGGCGGCCCCAATACTTGTTGGCGAACTTCACATTACTTCGCATTTTTTTTCTTATTTTTCAGACATGCAACTTTCCTCACGATGTTTCCTTCACCGCCGAGCACGTAGTAAATCAGCACTTAAAATTGTAATTAACAATTTCATTGGTGCCGGCAGTGATCGAACCCGGGTTACTCGCGTACTGTGAAATTTACAGCGAGCGCTTAACTCCTGAGTTACCACGGCTCCTTGACATGATCAAAAAATAACATTCATGCACTAACATAGGATGACAATCTTAGAACTTAGGGAAGTGCTGAAATACATTGTCGTACTATATCAGTTCTTAGAGAGCGCAGTTAAGGTTCGAAACCGATGTCAAGAACGCGGTGACACGTTAAACAATGCAACCAGAATTCGTAACCAATAATTTGTGTTTTTGAACAATTAATGCCCTCCGAATGGTATATGATTCCAGAACCTCAACTTAGTAAACTTTGGCTATGACTTTAACTTTGCTGTGTTTCATATTTCGGATGCAATTTGTACAACTTTAACATAATTTTAAGAAACTATGCTCACTAGATAGTTGAAAGAGAACTATGGAGTTGTGGTATGAAAATCCGATGCTTATTTGATATCATTCGGAAGAAGATCAAGGCTATATAATCTTACTTACTGCACTTGAAATTGTATAAAACACGATGATGACTTATTTATTTATTATGTACAGTAATAAAAAAATTAAGGAAATTTTATTTTTTACAGGTACCGACGTTGAAAATGCACCTGTTCACACTGATACAACTTGCGGGCATCTGCGTATTGTATGCGGTGAAGTCTTCCCGCTTCTCGCTCGCATTGCCATTCTTCCTGGTGCTCATGGTGCCGCTACGAATGGCCTTAATATATATATTCACGCCCCTGCAACTACGAGCGGTATGATTTTCTTGTTCAATTATTATATATTATATATCGCCCCGTGGGTGGCGAACAGAGGGAAACAAACCAGGAGATGGGCAGCAGCGTCTTACTACTAACAACTAAAACTTTAAAAAACTGACGTTATAAATTGGCTTTGTATATTTTAAATACGGCCTATATACCTTAAAACCACTGCTGGACCTAGGATTCCCCTCTTTTTGAATGACTTAAAATGTTAAAAAATTGCTCAATACAATACTGGAACTATTGACAATTTTATATATTTTTTAAATATACTACCTACTATATAATGATATATACTACATTACTATATACTATATTACTACATAGTAGGGTTAGCGACCGACTACACCTTGTATTTGCCGATTGTACCTAGGTGTATCCGTACCTCGGCTATTAGCTGTAACATATATGCCCCATGAATGAATTACTGACTCTGTGGAGCCGAGTAACTCGTATCACACTAGCTTGTGTTTGTCCCTGGTGTTTACAGAGTATATTTAACTTTTTTATTAAATTTCTTACATATTCTGAGACTAGCGCCCCGCCTCGGCTTCGTACGATTGATTTCTGGATCTCGACAACTACGTCGTCGTCGGTCCGATTTGCGACCGACGACGTGCCAGCCTTTTATGTGGAGTTCAGTTACATAATTCTGTCTGTGTGACAGAAGAATTGTATAATATATAATATGCATGTATTATACATATGAACCTTGCTATCTGCGTGAAATTATTAGTGATTGAATGTTAATGTTTTAAACGCTGTTTACGTAAACAGCTTTTTTGTAAATACTTGTTGAAATGGTTTTTGTAATATATAAGCATAATATGCATGTATTATACATATAATTGCTCCTTAATAATTCTGTCTATTGATGAAAACCGCAACGAAATCCGTTGCGTAGTTTAAAAGATCTAAGCGCACAGACGGCGGAATAATACTTTGTTTTATACTATGTAGAGAGGCCAAAGTTAATATTTATTTCTTTAAATTTTTCACTGAATGATTTTCGCAGCTTTGGTTCCACAATTCCCATAACAAAATCCCATATAAGATATTATGCAAGTAGGCTCGTAAAATATTGAAAAACACTAGGCAATATTTTTATTTGTCCGACGAATTTTAACAATTATATTAAGGGTAATATAAAAGAATAAATACTTGAAGCAATGTAATAAAATCTTATAACCTTTTTAATAATGGCACTTTTGTGGATTAATTTTAACTAAACGACGGCCTGGGACTAGGAGTATAGTTCACAAAAGATAGTAAAACTTCACCATATTCGGCTGCATCACCACTTAGCATCAGGTGAGATAGTGGTCAAGCGCTGACTTTAATTTGAATTAAAAAAAAAACTAGTTCGAACATCTGCCATCTGAAATTTTAAAAATAACACATGAATATACTTCTTTGAATATATTATTAAAAGTTACGCAATTCTTTTTTTATATTTAAAAGAAACCTTGACTGAAATGTGACCATCACGTGATTAATCACTTGTATTGTCTTACACAGTTGGACGGCGCCCAGAAAGACATCGACAAGGATGACGAGCCAGACTTCTACGAGGAAGCGCCGCTCCCGGGATAGACATTCACTTACGTACGTTATACTAACATTAGTGCTGTGCGCGCTAATTATGTAAAATTCATTTTGGAAACAGCAGGAATGACGCAAAAATGTTAACATCAGTCTGAAAATACTCTAGGAAAGAAACGAATGTTAAAGCGTTTTATTATTTAACTAAAATTTTTATCGCTATCGTCATACTACCTCTGGTAGACAATTTTAGTATTACAAATTGTTCGTTATATATTATTAAAGTTATATCACTCAAACGAGTCTAACTTTTAAACGTATGTAATGGGATAAGTTTTAACCCGAATATCACATATAATTGTAATGCGTTTACTATTCAGTATTTTTCATTAAATATATACGAGTATACGAGTATAATATTCGAGTATATTAAAACTATCGAAACTTAAAACTATTTTGTATTAAGTTTTTATTTAGAACAAAATATTAATTCAAATAAAACAGATAGCATATTTACAAAACGCTTGCTTCAAATCATAATTATAGTTAAAAAAAATTAAACTCTATTTTTAGCTTTTGAGTGCCAGCCATTTTTAAATACATACCTATTAATATTTAGAGTTATATTTATGGAAGGAGTTGAAAGCAAGCTTGAAATTAAAATTATGAAACATGCGGGAATTAGGACAATACCAGTGTGATAACGAACAGATGCTGTGTCAAACACAGGCTCATAATATGCAATACGATTAGCAAACTGAATGATAATTACGATGATGTTTTAGGATAGGAACCTATTTATGTTGTAGACTTTATCTAGCTTTAATGTTAATACGTTCTATACAATTTACCCTTCACATCAAAAAATACTATATATAAAAAATAGCAACCGTCCCTTTATCCTTTATTCCTTTTATTAAGCTATAGTTTTAAATTAGTAGTTCAAAATAGGGATTGAAAGGGTCCCATAATAATTATAAGTAAGATTGAATATAAGCCAACACGAATACGTGTATATTTCCCGATTTTACCGGTATGTGAGCGAAACAAGTTCTAACGATTTTAACGTAAAGTATCCACGCTCTCACAAAATACCAACGTTGAATAACAGTTAAAAAAAAAGGTTTCGTATGGTGAGTGACGACAACCAGAGATAGTTTTTACTGATACCAGGCGTTGTCATTCTTGTGTTCCATGATTAGATAAAGGCGTCTATAGACTGCACCATCCACTTATCATCAGGTAAATTGGGTAGCCTTTTTTCACACTTAACAATAAAAAAAAAACATGTTTGTATTCAAAGAATAACAGTCAAAAATAATATTATCTGTGCGAAGGTATAGTTACACGATTTTGTGTAACAATATAAAAATAAAATTAAACCCATGAAGGCTTCCGCCCTTGACTAGGAACCTTTATTCAGATTAGATTATCAAAGTTTTAAGTGTGTGTCTAGCTCATCTTAAAGTTAGTTTAAAATCGATTGGAAAAGTTTCGCCGTACTGATAAACAGAGAAGAAAGCAAGTTGATAAAAATCTATTTTGACATTTGCACAACACAACGAAACCAAACGTCAAAACGAAGTCCACCACAATTTTCTCCAGAGTTACACAATTTCACTGCCGTACTGAAAAGAGGCACCGTTATTCAAACTTATATCTTAAACAAGTCCAATGGTTAAAACAGTTATTAAATAACCCGACTGCTTTAAATGTTGCTGAAAAGAGAACATTTTTACGCCCTACGGAAATCACTTCAACAATCAAGACGAATCTAACGACACCAGATATATTAAAATCCATCAAGTCGTTTTGGCTCCAAAGCGTACCAACGATATAGGCATACCTACAAACATACGTACACGTGAAAATTATTACTCTCCTTCTGCGGTAGTCAAGTAGGGTAAAAAAGAACAGTAAAGTAAATTTGGGACCGGTTTTCAATCCCTAGTCGTTTTACTTTTGGTTGTATTATCAGTTGTATTGAATTTATACTTTCTATATGACCACTTCATGTAAGTTAGTTCGAATGTCTGCGATATTCTTAGTATTTTAATAGTAGGTAGTGAGTAAGTGTTTATTTTTTCTTGTAAATTATATCGGTCTGTATTATTAGCATCGAAACAATGCGTGTGTATGCGATTCCTTCTACCTCTTTTCCCTATCAACTTCCCATTTGGTGACTAATTGCAAGTTCGATTTTTTTATACTTAAAAATTACAGAATCGATTGTATTGAAAATTCATCTTCATTAGGTATTCATTATACGATTAAGCATCGAATGGAATTATGGATTAAAAATTTAGGGCAGATATTATCATCTGTTCCCGAAATATGCGAAATGAAATAGTAGGTGGTAGAGCCATGCTGCAGCTATATTAGTAGTAAAGTTGTAGCAAGAATAGGTCTGCTCGACCGGGGAAGGACCACGCTCTCACAAAATACCAGCGTAAAATAACAGCTTAAGAGGATTGTGAAGCTGTAAATTTTCATACAAAAAGCGATAACGTTTAATATAGTCCCCGGTAAATATAATCCAGTCTTTACTGAGCATAGATGTAGATGTCTATGGGTCACAGCAACCACTTACCATCAGGTGGACAGTGTGCTCGTTTGTCACCTTATTCTATAAAAAAAAACATACGTTTATTAAAAGATTATATGTGTCAACTATTCTTTTAATCGGATTTTTTTGCGCATTTGCTCGTTATTAATAAATTATAACGAGCAAATGCGTAAAAAAATTGAACTTCCAAGTATCGGACATATTACAAGAACTTGATAATAAAATAAATGGGAAGTTGATAAATTATTTTATGGTAATACATATGTAGACGTGTATTGGAATTAGCTATTCGTTTAGGGATTATTTATGAAGGTTTAATTTAAAAGTAATGTTTATAATCGATTACCAATATCACTGATGTTTAAGATCAGTTATAATTTTTGCACAGAAATTGTAGTTGCAGATTAGCTCTGTAATTAGATTACGAGCCAAAGGATTGGTGCCAAAGAGATTCTTACTATAAGTAGGTTATAATTACAATGTTTTGTTTAAAGTGGCAAAAAGGGGTGGACTATGGCTCGAGAACGTCATATAAAGCAACTACTTTTCAATTCAATATTGTCAAAAGCTCTTGTTATAATTGTTAACATTTTTATGGATTAAAACAATGATGTTATTCTAACCAGTAACGTAACATCTGATATTGCTTAAATAAATAGTAAATTATTTATTAAAATTATGTTACTCTATTTATTAGTTACTTTTAACAATGTTTTGTATGTTAAGGGGCCTAATAAACATTAGTATTATACTGTTCCCAAACTAAAAGTACTTAATTAGATAGTATGTAATTACGTTGATATTGATTATTTTTAAGAGTATAGTTGATTTAGTAATGTAACAAAAGCTTCATTAGGATAGTGCTGTTTATTTTATTAACGGTGGTTACATTCCCCACTGCGAGACAAAAAAGTTTTATTTGACGTCTTGCCGTGTTAGTTATGTTTTCTTGTTCAGTGTGTTTGTGTGAGGACACTATATTTATTTGAACTTTAGGGCTTACGGATGTCAAAACACGCAGTGCGCAGCAACAAAACAATAATTTTAAAAATTTATCACATACGAAAAAAAAAACAAAATACCACAAAGCCCCATCAACAATAACTTTTCGTTACAAAACTAAGAACTCTAAGCGACATTTCATTAAAAATTACTTTTTTTGTTAATATAAGTGTTATGTTAATATAAAAAATTCAAAATGTTATTATATTATTTATATTATGCCTTCATTCAAATCCCTTCTGTATTAAAGAACTTTTAATTGGTTATTTTTACGAGTATAAACTTTACGTTAATTGATTCGTAAATATATGACTGGTTTAATTCTGCATAATTGAATATACATTCCACAATTTATACCCAATCACTTATTTGTTACTAACATAATTATTTTGAAAAATATTTTTGTTCGATCATATGAGACATATCTGCAATTTGTATCTTTACGTGGAGTAAAGTCAATATTTTTTTTTATTATGTAACATTGGAGTAAAGTATACGTGCATACTTAACTATGCATTTGCCTATGGTTTATTTATATGTGCCGTATAAAGGTATTAATAAGGTTTGCTTTCATCTATAGCATAGTCTGCGAATGTGTCTTATAATGTAATTACTTATAAAATAAAAATGAATAGAAGACGTCATATACCTTCAGCAGATTTCTGTTCACGATGATTTTTTGATTTGATGATTGTGCAAATTTGTAAAATAAAGCACAACGTAACATTGTATGTTATAGATGAAAATCGCTTGAGATGCAAGCAGATACTTTGTATTGATTATTTGTGACTATATCAAGTATTTCTTTCAAATAATACAAGCCATTTTTAAAAGCCTCTGTCCAGCTGCAGGTTTGTAAAGGCTTTTATGATGATGGGGTAGGTCGAAAGCATGAAGCAAATACAAAGAGGAGACGTTGTAATTAAATTTCACTATGTAACAGCGCGTGACAATTTGCGGGGTGAGAGGAAGCAAAGCTCCGCCCACTTTACACTATATACATCTACTGATAAATAGTAAAACTACTCGAATCGTTCCATATCGATGTTGCAATGTAGTTTAGCTACCCTAACGGTAGATGGCGACCTGTCCACAAAATGTTATAGACTATAAAAATAATATTTTTGCGATTAAAATTTCTTTATGTCTGAATGCAAAACAAATTTCAGCACCTTCGTATGATTATTTTAGCATTAATGAGCTCTACATACCTTTATATTTTTAGTTCACATGACACAAAGTGTTGCCATCTAGTGTCGAATATATTTAATTATATTTGAAAGCCAACGCAGAGATTTTTCTAGAACTATTTTAATAAATTAGGTGTAAAATTATTTACTAATGAAATGTAATGCCATCCATAGCATCAGAGCGTCTATCTGAGTAGTTTTTACACGATAAAACACAACACTTCATCCTTTTCTTCTTAACACTACGAAAATACACCGATTTGCGATTTTTTCAACACAAGCGCACAGGACGA